TATATATATATATATATATATATATATATATATATATATATATATATATATATATATATATTTTTTTCTCAGAGTTAACCTGTAGAAAAGATAATATTTATAAATATAAATGAGAATAGGAAAACTGTAGTAGTTGCTGACCCGTTTAGTCCAATGTGGACTTTAGCATTACCGTATAAAAAGTCCACATTGGACGAAATGCGTCAGCAACTACTACACTTTTCCTATTGTCATTTATATATATATATATATATATGCCTGCATGTAGGTTTCCACGACTGCATATACTGCTAGTACATTATTTAGTGGTAACTCTCATTTTAATGTGAATACATCCTTAGTAGGTAAGGGAGTGGGTATATTTGGCTTGTCGGTTTCGCAACAAAGTGGATGTGTTACACAAATATTTAAAAATGTAGACCGCTTAAAAAGTGACTGTGGAAAAAAATGGACGGTCCGAATTTGACATTTCCCAACACCATTCTACCTCAGTTATTATACCCTGCCCACTGTTTGTAACGTTGGCATTACTATGTCATTCTTGTACTAATATTCATTCAAAACACCCGTCATTTGCCTTTTTCCAGTCCTTGCTATCATTGGAATGAACACATTTGTTCTCTTTTCGTTTTGCGAATGTCTGTTTTCCTTGCATTTTTTCACTTTGTTATGACATCCTATTTCTGAATTAATTTTTCTGCCTGTGTGTTCATTGTTTTTTTAATATTATCTGCTACTTGCTTCAGCTGATATATATATATATATATATATATATATATATATATATATATATATATATATATATATATATATATACGCCTCAGAATAGGTCGAGATTCCTATATAAATTGCTAGTATATTATTGAGCGTTAATTCTCAATACCACATTTTAATGCGAGTCCAGGCTGTTTGGGTCACTGACTGTGCAAATTTGATTTGACGGTTACTCATCAAAGTAGATATTTGGACTTATACTAAGTTAAAACCTAAAACAAAAATCAAACTTGTACTTTAATTCTCTTCATTCAATTGTGTGTCTATATAATATATCATTTCAAGTGCCACTCGTGTGTGGTTGACTGGTTGTTCTTGCCATATGGGAAGAACTCGAATTCCTTTTATAGAAGCCAAAAGAAAAGTTGGTTGAATAAGTAGTCCTTACCGCCCACCCCCATCGTCCCCTTTTGCAAGTGAGAGGTAGTCGTATGCATTCAGCCATGGAAATCAGAAAAAATTCCCTTAAAATCGCAGTAATTGTTTCAAAGCACCATTTAAACGATGCCAGTCTACACCATACATAATGTGTCAAACTGCTACACTACCCAAAAGACCAGCTACCTTGCAAGGAACAGTGTGAGGTTTAAGAATTTTGTTACCCAATTTCTATTACCTCCTTTCTCTCTTGATATATTAGTATATCAATTCAACATCGCACAATCAAAAGTTCTATGGCCACTGATGATTGACTCACCAAATTAGTTATCTGAATGTTCATTCCTCGACATAACTGAAAATCATAACTACGTCTGTTTTGTTTGTTTGATTTCTGTTTTTTGTACTTGTTTTTTTTTTTTTCATTTTTTGTGTTTCATTTGTTTGTTTGATCGATTTTTATTTGTTTTTTTTTAATGGGAGTAAGGATTTCCTATCGACGGGTCATATTCCTCATCCTTCTTTTGAACAAGAGTAGAATTTCATACCTTGTTTCCTGTTTAGGAAGGGATACCCGGTTTCTTTCCTATTCTATGGCCTTAATAAATAGGCTGCCATTAATCTTTTTCGGATATGTGTGAATGGTGGCAACGTCTCTTCATACTGAGCGTACCGAGTTTGCAGTTTTCTTTTTGCTGTTCCCAACTAACAGTTAAGAGACTAAAAATCCTGCTTAGCGTCTTCAGATGCTGCTCCGATAGACAGTTCATAATATCGGAGTTCTAGCAGTGTCATAATGCACATAGAAAGGTGTCCTTGCAAGCACTTCTAGTGGGTAACCCGCATGTTAGATAATGATGCAGTCAGCGTTAGTTCCATCCTGCACATGTTACATTAGACGATCGTCTAATACTACTACCCTTACCAAAATATCTCATCATGACTATAATATTCCAAAGATATAAATCTAAACCACCTCAACAAAAATCACGTAAACGCCTCAACCTTTTTTTCTCCAACATTCATGGTATCCGTATCCTGTTCTACAGTGTTGAATCGTTCCTCTTCGAATTTTTTCCGACGGTCTAGTTCTCTGTGAAACTAATGTTAACTCTTCATCCTCCCGTCTGAATTTCTCGATTCATTGTTATCTTCCTCTCCTTATAAAGGATTCTAATGTTCACCTACATCGCCTGGGTGATTATGTCCGTGAACATCAACTGCTGGCTATGGAAAGCTCGCTTGAACCTCCGCCTCACTGTTGTGTGTGTCTCCATTTCTTGCTACTTAACCCAGTCAGCTATCTCTTCTTTCTCTATCGTTCCCCTTCGTATCATGACTGTTGCATGCTAGATAGACAATGGGCATCTCCCTCTATAGGCCTGCACATATATTTGTGCTTGGTGAATTTAATGTCCACCATGCCAGATGGTTTAAACACTCTGTCACTCTCTCTGCTAGAATCCAGACCCTTAATCACTCAATCCATTAGGCAAGGTGTGGATATGCCCACACGTTTTCCCAGTATCCCTGATGAACCCGCCTCTCTTCTAGATCACTTTTTCACCTCTATCCCAGACATGTCGTACTTTGAAGTTCTGCCTTCTACGCAACTGTGATCATGCTGTACTGTAATTATATATTTCCGTTCAAACTACCAGCCAAGAACATCCTACTGACATCAACGCGCGGATTGGGACTTCTCCTTGACGTCCCATGGAAAGCAATTTTTAATCATCCTGTTCATAAATGCGCATCTGAACTCTCCTCCTCAGATGAAAGCTGGCAAAGTATTCGAAGCTTTAATCAATGCTTAAGTGGGTCAGCATCTTACCTCTCACGACCTACACTCTGACAAACAATATGTTTTCATTTTTGGCAGGTCCAATACTGATAGGCTAACGATCATCACTGAATATGTATATCAAGGTCTTGATAATAACAACGAAGCTTGAAATGTTGCTCTAGGACATCTTGAATTCGTTTGATAGGGTTTGGCAGGCTGATCTTCTACATAAGCTCAAGGGCTACGGTATTCCAGGATGATTGATTTAATCCAATCGTTCTTATCAAATCGTGAAATGAAGTTTGTTTTGTTTCAGATTCTTTCACAAGAACGCTGATGTCTATATCCTGGACTCTACGCTGTTTCTGATCTTCATCATTGATCATACTGATGCCATCAGTTTTCAATAGGCGTTTATGAAGATGACATTACCATTTACTCTTGTCTCAATACCAAATCCGTCAGATCAGACAAAGTTATCCTGGCCGCTGCTCTGGAAAACGACGTCCAATCTGTGGTTAACTGGGACAGTAAACGGCACGTAAATTCTCTACAAAAAAAAACTTCTCTCAGTTAACCACCATAGAGAGACTTTGCTACCCATCATGAGCATAGCTAAAGCTAGACTCATGGAAGCAACACATTGCAGCTTCTTGGCCTCGGGTTTTCAACACACTTGAAGTGGAACGACTACATCAAACAAAGGCTGCATCTGCTGCAAGGATGTGTCATTGTGTCGAGCCAGAAGGTTTTTCTCGTCTTGTAAATTTACAGATCAACCATTCGGACGTGCATGGAATACTGTTGACATATCTGGTCAGGTGCTCTTGTCACTCATCTTGATGTTCTTGAGAAAGTCAAAAGAATGATCTGCAACGTAATCGATCCTGACTTGGCATGTCGACTTCAGTCACGTTCTGCCAGACGTGGCGTGGCTTCCCTCTGTCCTTCCTATAAACATGTACATGGCAACTGCTCTGAAAGCTTTTTTTCTCCTGGTGCCTTGAATATATGAGTTTAAGCGTGCTACTAGATTGACATCTAGGTCCCAAAAATTTAATGTTGTATTAGTTAAATGTAACCGCCACTTCTATTCCAACAGTTAGTTTTCTCACACTTCCCGCCTGTGTAACTCATTTCCGTTTACTTGATTTCCTGATAACTAAAATTTTCAAAAATTTAAATCGAACGCCAATCGCCATCTTCTGTCTTCTTGAACCCCGTTCAGCTTTTGGTTTTTCTTCGGTCCCCCATAGATAGATTTTTCTCTCACTTTCTCTCATTGTAGATCCCTGTGTTATAGTATCATTTTCGTCTTGATTGGCTTGAAATGATTAAAAAAAATAGATAGAAGTAAATAGTTGTGTCTTCAGCATGTAAACTGAGTCTGGAACTGATTACATCGGGAATGTCATTGACGAAAAAAAGGAACACGCTCATTATTTACATTATTCGGACTATTGTCCTCATCTTTGTCGCCATATTTCTTACAACGTTTCGGCTGTTGTACGCTCCGGCCTTCTTCAGGTGGTTGAAATGTCGAAATGAACTCTTTATTTCGCTCACTGGTGTAGAATGTTCTAGTTCCATTGCCATGTTTTAATGGGTGTCAGTTAACAGTTATCTCCTGTTTATTTCCCTCTGAAAGTTCTCCAAAGCCTTAGCCGGATATTGAACTCACAATCTTTGGGTCGTTGTAATAAATATGACGACAAAGATGAGGAAAATAGTCCGTATAATGTAAATATTGTACATAATACCTCATCTCAGAAATATAGACAGATACTGAAGGAAGATGCTACCTTAGAGTTCTGTGAGAGATCCAGCCTAATGTGAAAAGGGGACCGTTCAAGTCATCATTCATTACGCAATTTTCTATCTAGAATATATAAAGGCACACGCCCTCTCGCGTGTGTGTCTGCGTGAGTGCGGATACCATCGCTCAAAAGCCAAACCTTTATACCAAGATTTTCTTTCATTTGGCGCTTTGCCCCAGAGGCAATTACAATTAGAGGCGAGTCCCTTTGTTCAATTCAAATAAAATTGAAGTAAAAAATATTTTTCACCGCTTCCCATATGATCAGCGAAGTTAAGCAACGTTGTGCCTTGTCAGTACCTACATGGGTGAACACGTGAAAATACCAGGTGCTGGAAGTTTGGATGTGAGGTTGGTGTAAACAATTAATAAATTCGGAATTATTCCTTTAAGAGCCGATGTTCAATTCCAGGTTGTTTCGTCAATATCGTTGCGATAGTTATAAATTCACATCTTCTGCTTGTGTTAATTAGTAAGAGTTGTCTCACTAAAAACATTATTATGTCTAAAATAAAAATCATAATCGCGTACTAAATATTTAGAATTCAGCAATAAATAATCCATAGAAATTTATATACCAACTAAACGAAGGCGAAACAAAGAATAAAATATAACTTGATTTTGCCTAACTTCTCATTCTCTCCCTCTATTCAACTCCAGATAATTCAAGGTATATTACCCATAGTTGTCATGTTGTGAAATGTCTTACTAGTTCTACCGCTATGAGAGTAATTTTTTATTAAAATCGCCCAATGCATTAAGCTATTTCATTAGAGTGAAGTTTCTGAGTATTTGTTTAGGACGAACATTAGTATGAATCTGCCGCTTTACCCGTTGATTTCAATACGTTTATTTAAAATTATTAGCAGAAAATGAATACCACCTTTGTGTATTCGTGTGAACTAACATCAAAGATTAAAAGAGAATGCACATTCAGATTCAGGAAATGTTCATAAACAAAAGTGAAAAATGGGGAAAATACAGAACGGCAAAAGACAAGAAAGGAAATAAAAAAGAAATAAACCTATTTTTCAAAAACCCTTCGCTGCATCAGAAGTGAGAAAAAAATGCAATGACAAAGCGTGCCGTTAAAAACTGTCGGATTTTTTTTCCCGCACTGACGGTTAGCCTATTAATTTAAAAGAGGAAAATACAAGAAAATCACATTTATTTTAAAATTCTATACAATTTTCATTTTTATTATGTATTACATTCTCTTGAAGCTTTAAATCTATCCTTCTAGAAATATTTTTTTTTAAAATAATAACTTAAGCGGTTTTCTATGTTAAGGCTCTTACCTTCCATGTGACACTTATATATATATATATATATATATATATATATATATATATATATATATATATTTTTTTTTTTTTAAATATTTCATATTCATCTATGTTCCATCAGTTAGCTTGTCTTATGTCGGATAAAGACCACTTCCTGACAAAATTATCTAAAATCATATAGTAACAAGTTTATCCATGCAAGTGCGTGTCACGTCAGAAATAATGGTTTTAGCCAATTCTTTGCTTTATCTAAATGGAGCATGACCAAGTGGTTATAGTAATGGCTTTCCTACTATGTGACTCATTTTCAATTCTCACAATGGTATATCTCACAAAAAGGAGACTGGTCGGAATTATGAGATAGATTAATCGCATGCAGCACTGTAGGAATTTCCTGAAAAGCCTACTTTGTGTTGACCCAAGCATTCCGAGTGAAATTATACAAGCGAAACCTTTTTCTTTGTTATCTTTTTTCCTTGTTTTACGGCTTATCAACCTCAATGGGTTATTTAATGCCGACAAGATTTTTATTGCTGGTAATATTTTTCTTCAAAAATATATTGCTGGCAAAATTTTTGTATTGCTGCTAATTTAAAAAAAATATTGCTGGTATTAAAACTTATTTTTTATATTTCATAGTATTTTGACCACAGTTTGGGGTTGAATATTAGCCCATATTTGGGACCGTAATATGTGCTATGATCCCGGGTCAATGTGGACCTGGGAACACCAGCAGTTAACAGGTGGTCCCACGCTCCTCAAAACCTCCTGATCAGAGGCCTTGCTGTTGGATGGAGTTTATCGTCTTACCCCGGACGTGGATGTAGTTTACCGTCTTACTTAAGACGCCAGGCGAAACTGATCTGAAGCCTTCAATTGTCGTGTTCAAAAGGGAATCGCATATCTTCACCCTGTGAGCATATAGAACCTCTTTAGCCTTTTTCTCGTAGTCTATCTAGAGCTTGGAAACTCACTGAAATGTATAATCCTACAAAAAAAAAATCAAACAAACAAAACTCAAAATCGTTGATTTTCTTTACTAAAACAAATTGTCACGTAATTTCACAATCTGGCGCAGGTGGGAATAGCATTTGCCCTATCATAAATGGCACGAACATTTTTAATACCAGAGTTAATCATGCAGGCCTGACTGAGAAAAGGTCACAGTAAATCGACGCAAATAATCAAATGCGCAATTAAAACAATACATTTTAATCCTAAGGTGCAATTTTGAATTTCTGGGATGCGGTTATCGTAATGTCAATACATATAATGAGTCATTTTAATATAGGAAACATTTAGTACTCATTGAACGAACAATTAGTACTAATATTTTCGATAAATACCAGAAGGGTGTTGAAATATATTTATTGAAAAAGTTATTAATAAATAGAGATTTCAATCCAAAAACACATGTAGCTCATTCTGATATTGTTGTGAGGTTTTCGTTGTGATTTACTAAGGTTAGTTTTGATATTACACAAGGTCGAAAGTATAAGGCATCCAGTGATGATAGAACACACTATTTGGTCATAATTGTTTTTGCACGACACTGTTGCTAACCGTTACACCACGTCGAGGTATACCCGTAGGTTTTTGGTTTTGGGAGTGTATAAATTTTCTTTTCTCGTTGCATGTTCTACCAGACTTTGTTGTTTCTGTTGGAAGATTTCATGAGAGCAGTTATTTCATATTATTTCTGTTTGGTATTGATCTTTTTTATGTTAATTTGCAACACCTGCCTACAGGGTCTGATAAAGAAACGCCTTGTTCATTTCTATCAAATGTTTAATTTGGTATCTGCTACGGCATAGTTATGAGTTCTAAACCAATTTCGTCACATCCGTGCGTATAAATGAACAAATATATTTATACAAAAGATTAACCATCTGTAGATTACTTCCGAAATACAATCATACCTTCAGCCATCGGCATCCCTGAACTGTGTAATATATTTTCTGTCTCTGTTGTTTTGATTATAATCGTTTTTCAGCAATGAAGCCACTAAGACTGAAGTGGACATAGAGCATGAAGAACTATGCGAAAAGTGAAACATTATTAAATAAAGAGAAGAATACCGTAACAGGAATTTAGAAGACAGACAAAAAATGATTAACAAGGCATTTCAATTTTTGAAGATAATTCGATTGGAAAACAAGAGTCTAGAAGTGAGTTCCACAAGCGAAAAGTGCGATAAAAGAAATTATTTACAGAAAATATAAACTAGAAAATCATATACTATACTATGGTGGGATGAAAAATTCATAGATTAATTATGAAGGATTGATGCTATAACTTTGAAATATGGCATGCTTTGATTTAACTCATTCATATTAATAACTGCATTGTTTATTCCCATGTAAACCTGACATATGACTGCTCAAAGAAGTCTTAAAAATTACTAGAATGAAATTCTTGAAAGTGGACACGGTTTGTGGCATTATGAAGTACTTGCAGAAAAAGAGTTTAGCAGACAAGGACATTCATGTAAACAAGGATGTTACCTTAGGGAATGACGCTTCAGATTTATCAACCGTGGAAAAATAGGAAGCTGAATTTTGGAGGGGCGGGGAGTGTGCAGAAAGATGACAAAAGGATGTGGAATTTCTGCAACTGACACCGGAAGCAATCATTAATCATGTTTACCACATAGTGACGGATAATTGGATGTTGACTATATGGCAAATATCCAATGCCATTACCATCACCATTGAGAGAGGAAAAACTTCTACACAATAAACTTGGTATGACGAAACTTTCTGCTCGGCGGGTACCAAGTCTTTTGACACCTGATCAAAAGGGCAAATACTGATCACATGGGAAAGTCTGACATAGTTTTAATTGAATACTTGAACGTTTGCTAAACCCGGATTAGTGTTGGATTCATCACTTTGAGCCAGAGACAAAGAAACAATCCATGAAGTGGAAATACCTCTCCTTACCTGCACAAAAAGGTATGGTATTTTCATCTTCAGGGAAGGTGATGGCATCAATTTGTGGGATTCAAAAAGGCATTGTGTTTATTCAATATATTCAAAAGACTACATTATCAGTGGAGAGTCAAATGCCAAATTGATGAAGAAGTTATGAAAGGCTATCAAGACATATCCTCAGAAAAACCGTTTCATCAGGAAAATGCTCCAGTATACAAATCCTTTGTTTCAATGGCTTCTATGCTTGAGTGCAGCTTTGAACTGGTTGATCACCATATCTATTCTCCTGAATTGACCCCATCTGACGATCATATATTCCCAGACATTAGAAATAATTGGCTGATAACCATTATCGCAGGGATGATGACTTCATGGATGCTGCTGGCTTATTACCAAAAGGGTGAAAGCTCCTTTACCAAAGACATGTAAGCCCTGCAACAACGATGGGGAAAGTGTGTGGACCACAAGGGGACTAAGTTGAAAAATAAACCTCATCAGAACCCATCGCGTGTTACAGAATGCTAAGGCTAGAGCCAAAATAGCCGAAGTGCCTCGTGGGTGTGGTATTCGGACAATGATGGATTGCCTTTGTGTGGGTTTTGAATATAACTGCAAAAAAGCGAAAATACAAGAGAGCTGCTATATTTTTAAATTGTCGACAGGCAGCTTATACCTAGTTTAGCACCAGGCTCAGGCAACCCGTTGACGGACGCCGAGACAAAGTGTGACATGCGTTCCCGGGAGAGCATTTCTCCCGCTGGCTCTTAGAATCCTATTTTTCCACCACTCTCTCCTAATAAAATGATAAAGTAAAAGATATCGTACTTTTTGTTGATACCATTTTAGGTGGTAACGTTGGGACCCAGAGACGACGCAGAACGCAATATTTTGTCGGCCTATGGATTTTGCGGCTGACCCTCTTATGTTACACTATATGATGATTTATATATTGTAATTCTACCTACATTTCCAATAAAAATTCTATATTAAGGGTAAAATGGTGTCAATGTCACGGAGACATATCTCTTGCATAGATGGATAAAGAATTGGCGACACTCTGGCGTGGGATTTAGTCTGAAATCATTTTACACACATTTTATATTGATTTGTCTTGTTTTC